CTTCAAACTTTCTGTCTCAGTGTCATGGGGGGTGGGGGTGGGGGTGGGGGTGGTCAGGAATTTGCCCTGACCTGCTCAAGTGATGAACTCTTTTAATCCCAAGATCATAATTATTTAGTAATTCTCATTACTGTCTGCCATACAATTCTTATGATGATAGTTTGGAGAATTTGGTATTGGATCATCCTTCACATTTCTAGGATCAGGAAATTGAGTCGTCACTGATATTCTTACTCCATTTTGATGACTTCTGTTATCTATTACTGTGCAAACCCATGGCAACATGAAATTTACTCATTTCATATGCAATTTTAGCGTAATTTCAGAGCTGAGCTATGAGTTTCCAGCAGTCTGATTGGTCGAGCGGTTCCTTATACGACACTATATAAACCGCTCCACGTGGTTTATATAAAATGTTAAAATAAAATGTTAATAAATGTCACTAAAATGTTATGATCATTTTAGAAATCTCTCTGTTGTTCAGCTCTGAAATTATACTAAAACAACTATTCACCACAGGTTCGGTGAGTATTGTCAAATAATCTCCTCGACTTCGTCTCGGTGATTATTCGACGATATTCACCTCGCCTTTGGCGAATAATTGTTAAATATAATGGAAAGAAAATGTCGTTAACCATTTATTGCCATTTACACTCAAGATCTAATATCAGTATTGATATTCTCTGTTTAATTCACAATACATTTCCTACCATGCATTAAGGAGAAATTGTTTCACCATCAAGTGCTTTAATTTGTGATCATTTCCTTTATTTTCATTACCTTATGATAATTATGATGTATGATTTTGGGCTGATGTTCCAAGGAGAAATTAGATGCTAATCACTCTGAGGGGTAATCATGCATTTGTCTTCCAATAGATAATGAGTAACAACCGATCAAAGTGCGGGAATAATTCAGCTCGTCAGGTAAACTTACTGCTTAATCTTTGTTCTCAGGCAGCCGAGTACGTCTGGGAATCTTCAGGTCGCTTTCTTGCTCCAAACGGAGGTGTCATGCGCACTTCAATTCTAGGAGTTCATAACTTTGGCGACATAGATGCAGTGATAAAGAACACTAAGGCAGCATGTAAAGTCACCCATGCAGACCCAAGATGCATTGCATCTTGTGTTGCCGTGACAACAGCCATTGCAATGATGTTGCAGGGAAAGCATTTTGTGGAGGAGTCTGGAAGCTATGATGCTGAGGCATTGATTAAGGAAGCTTTTGGTTATGCCTGTGCCACACTTGAAACTGACGAGCAGGTAATGTTCGTTTATTTGTTATTGAGGACGCGAAGAAGCCTCGTGAAAGCTGGTGGCCAAAGTAACCATGCTAAACATTGAAGAAATAAATAATGGGAAGTTTCTATAATTTAAAGGGGATAAGTTTATAAGAAAACTGTAGTGCTGCATCGGTAGGAGGTATTAAAAGATAATTTGCTTGGATCAACTAAGTTGATAATGTAAGTTGGCCAGCTCAAAAATTGTAAAGATGACGTTTGCAGCGTTAGCCCTTTAACAAAGCGATTTCCTTTATTTGGCCTTCCAGCAACCAGGGTACTTAAAGGTTTAACATGAAAAGACTCTATTGAGATAGCCGGCGTAGAGGTTCTCAGGTTAAGAGATGCGAGTTCCCTGAAGTGCGCAACGTAAGCCTAGACTTAGGCAGTCCTCTCTTAGGCGTGTATGAAATAATTCTAAGGTTTTTCAGTTTCCTGTTGATTTACAAGTAAGATTACCAGTAGGTTTTTGACTGCTTCGGGGACCTGTCATTATTTATCGCTAGTCGAATTGGGGAGGGGACCATCCTTGGGGGGGGCGATTCTTGGGGAGAAGGGTTTCAGAGGGAACTGAGGGGAATCTGTCGTTGCCAATGGAGTTAAAAGGGGGATTATAGAAAATTAACCCCCAATTAACTGCCAGTGAGCCGTTACTATTGAAACATGACAGAGCGTTATGGAGAGATCTGGTAAATCTTCTCCTGACACAAGCAAAATCCTTACCCCTCCCCCCTCAGGCGATAAATAACGACCGGTCCCATAGAGCATCTGTATGTGGCCTTTCAGTTAGTTTAAACCAAAGCGAGAACCTTATCTCGTGAATTGCTTTTAGAAAGAGGGTTTGGAGGAACACATGTTTGCTAAGTCATTGAAAGATCTACAGCTTGACGAACGCGGTAAAATAGGTTACACGTACAAATGTTTAGGCGCCGGGATTTGGTCCTTGAGGCAGGATGATTTTCGTGCCGCTATCGAAGCTGTGGCATATGAGGTAAGTCTGATACTTGGCAACCGAGACACAATATCTTTTTTAGTTTTTCATGTAAAAACCATCATTTGGAAGAGTCCAAATGAATTGTAGTTTCTACGGAGTCTTTGTCTAAATCAGTGTCGAGGGAATATGAAGCATCTTCATACCTTTCGAAAATTCGTGTTTCTGGGTACAAAATCTTCCACAATTTTGATGTGCTACTCATCTTACAAGAATTTTCAATCTGTAGGCAAGGCCTATTATGTAGGACTAACGGTTCACCATTTGAAGTCAGTCTTTAGGGCTTTGTGAGGTTGTTGGAAAAATTTTTATGATTAAACAACATTTTAAAGTTTAAGTTTTAAGCCACATCTATTTCAACAATGTTCTGAAATTTCTTTCTTTTTTTTTTCACGCACTAAATTTGGAACCTACATTTCTTCTCAGGCCGGAGATGCGGACACAAATGGCGCAGTAGCCGGAGCGCTGTTAGGCTGCAAACTGGGTGCCAGTAAACTGCCAGAGTCTTGGCTCAATGAATTGCTACATAAAAAGTGGCTAGATGAGAAGATTGAGAAGTAAGTAGTACATTATAGGACATTATAGACTTTCTAGGGGCTTTGAACATTTAAATATAGCCAATCAAAACAAGGAACTATATCATGGTACATTTCAAGTGTCAGTCACTCACTCTTGAGTGATGGGCACGTGGCCGGAGGCACGCACAATCAGGTGCGTGACTCGTACGTAAGTCACGCACAATGTCATGCAAAAAGTACAATTTACATAAACTGCCGTTTCTAATACCAGTTAAACGATTATAACATGTACGTTGCGAAAAATTGTAGAATAAGCGCTCCCTGAAAAGGTCTCTGAAAGAAATCTTTATATTTGTATCAGTAGGGCCGTTTAAACGAAGATCATGAATAATCCATGTCTTGTGTAAGACGTCAACTGGACCAATTATAAGACCACGGCTTACATAAACGGTAACCGCGAAGTGTTCGCATGAGGGGTTCATGTCTTAGTTCTCATGAACATGTGTGAGAGGTCGCGAGCGCGGGAAAAATGCTCAAGCGCGGGAAAAATGCTCAAGCGCGGGAAAATATTGCGCTTGCGCATCGTAAGTTCGCGTCCTGCGTAAGCCACGAACAAGCTGCGATGCCATTTATACGAGTAGTTTCGTATCTTATCAAAGCCGCGGCTTATTCAAGACGTTCTCAAAATCCCCATTTTGCAGAAAACACGGCCTTAAAAGTGGCAATGTAATGTTTACACGATTAGTCCGCGTCTTTGGTAAGCTGCGAATTATTTTCTTCGTTTAATCGGCCCTTATATTGGTGAACCTGCTTTTCACTCTCAGTTGGCGTAAAGACTGCGGAAGGTAACGTTATATCATTTAACTTTTTCTTTTTCGTAGTCAAACAAAGTTGCTTTACCTTTTTTTCAGGTTCTTGGCTCTACTTGGTCTTACTGAATGAAGAATGAAAACCCGCTCCTTATTTACTGTGACAATATATATTGTTGTGAGGTAAAATTGGAAGTTGCTATTTTGAGATTTTTCCAGTTGAGCCTTTTGTTTTGTTAAGCCTTGCCTTTTGCGCCTACGTGTTGTTTTGATAGATTTATAACTTTGATCTTTTATTTTTATGGTATGCTTGAACTTGGCTCAGTTTGCGGATTTCCTTTAAACCGTGCTAGACATTCTAATCGCTTGTTATGGTTGAGGATAATAAGTTTCCTAGATGGTCATGTTTGGGTTGGTAAAACTGACCTTGAGGTTTTTACCCATACAGAAGATCCTGTTTGCGCGCGCGATTCTCGTGCGCAGCTCGATCATTGGCGTTTAATTGGTTCCTTAGTGCTCGCCAAGTACTTCGGAGCAAGCCACCCAATTTCCCCCTTTGCAAAACAACGGATACACTATGGAAACTCCCACGGTCACCTAACCCAAACATGTCTGCGATTTTTGTATTTAATACGTGGTGGGCACTCCTCGCAAAAAAGTAGTAGAAGAAGAAATGATCTGGAGCGTTGTAATAGGAAAGAATAAAAAGAGAAGAGTCCAGAGTCTTGGTACCTCTCGTTAAAAGTCAAGCGAGTTGCTAACCGCCCAACATTAGCAAGAACTTATTTTATTTTTATCTTATCATTTACACCGCTTAAGAAAGATTTAAATAGATATTATTAGAAATTTTAACGAAGTTATTTCCTTAACAGTTATAATTTAATTTTAGAATCTTTTCAAAATTAGATCTTATTAGATCCAAGCAGAAATTTATAAAATTTCAAAGGGGTTTAGGTTATATTTCTGTTTCTATGCACTTGGATTATTATAGAATGCGAATTTGATATTCATATGTCAATTTGCGGAATACAAGCCCTATATTGTCATTTACATTTTAAGTTTAACCTAAAACTATAAGAAACAAGGAGAATACTGCCTGCGCTAGTTTTAGCGTCGTGTTAGTGTTATCAGTAACACACCTGTATACATAAACACACAGAAACTCACACAAACTCGCCTTCTGAAAATGATTGAGCCAGAAGTCACCAAACATAGGTAACAGTTTAAGTATGTGCCGTACAAATGTAATTAGAAGGATTTATTATTTAGATTACAAAAGGACAAAACAGGTAATTGATGCTCTACCGAATATATATTGAGATGTAGTTAGTGTATGAAGATACTGATAGAAAAATGGACAAAACCCCAAAGCGTTTATCAAGTCAAATAACTTTTCTTCGGTTCAGAAATTCCTCAGAATGGTGAATTGATGATACCCAGCCGAGAAAGGGAAAGGCTTGATGTGTAATGAAAGGATGGCGCGCAAGGTAACTGAAAATATTAAATATTGGCGCATAAAGGAAAAAGAATAAAGAATTATAAATTTTAGCCGCAAGGAAGAATAAATATTTCAAGGAAAGGCGAAAATGGGGTCAAAAACTCTTAAGATGGCGTAAAAGAAATGGTTACCTCAAAAAGTGCGAGCCAGTTGGGGACAAATCACAATTGTACGTAACGAAGAGTACGACGGGAGGGCAGATCTGCCCAGGCTTCCTTCACGGAAGATAGAGGACAAGTCAGCATAGGTGTGAGAGACGTGAAATCGGAAGAAACAAAGCAAAGCGCCGTTTTATTTTTCTTTTACTGGCTCAAACTGCTACGGCACTTTATGTCTATGGTGCGACGTTTCCTATGTTAGGTAAATATCCGTGTTTACATCTTGACACACTGCTCTAGAGGAAACTTAAAGGGAGGGAAAATTGTGATCTCTGTGGTCTTTTGACATACCAATCCATCCATACAGCCACATCTATGCAAATCCTGAGAAAAATAAATTGGACATACCCAAAATGACTAACGATGAGAGAAGATTAAAGAAAATTAATACGAGTGAAACCCATGGTCTTTTATCTAGTACCTTGAAGTTGCAGGCGCCGTCTTCTGGGATTTTCGGGATACACCGCTGGGCCAGAATCGGACAGCAGAAATTCGGGGCGCAGTCAACGTCAGACTGACACTTCTGGTTTATAAAAATAAAAAAAAAAATTAAAAAATACTGATGAAACTGCTTTTCAAACTGAACTACATGCGGTTCCTTCACCTAAGGAACTATTGATGGGCTTTTTGGTTCATTCCAGAGGTAAACTTCAATTTGTCCTTGACACCCCTTCTAGAAATCTACTTGATTTCGTTCTCAGCAAAGTGAGACAACACCCTCCCTTAGCTGCCCCTTAGCTGCCCCTTAGTTACCGTTAGAATTCCCAGGAAACGCTTCACTCTGTAAGCTGCGTTAGCTGCACTGATCTGCTCCTCAGGGTCCATGTGGATTGTCTCCACGTTAATCTTCTCATGGTCGCCCATGCATTGCTTGACGGGAATAGTTTTGCCATCCACGATCATTTTTTTGGTTAACCTGCACGATAGACCGGATTGGCAGGTGCAATCAAACCCCTGTGGAAGGGAAAATAAACCAATGAAAGCGCATTAGAATGAGTGTTGCGAAACCGATTCGTTAGGGACCTTAAGCAAACCACGACGGCTACAGCAACGAGAACGTGGAAAAACAATAGATCTAATTGGCAGAACAATAGCTCAGCACGTGCGTTTTAAAACTTTGTACATTTCTTAGCCTTCCTCTGCAAAACAACAACGTGAAATCACCAAAATTTGCGTCGTCTGCGAAGCGAAACCGCGGCGGCAAATTATTTTAATTTACATTTGGAACTCAACGCTACTTTTATGCGTTATGTTGAGTTTGAGTTCAAGGATATTCCGTTTTTTTAAATCATTCTATTTTACGACTAAAATAATTGTCCCTATCCGCACACTCACCTCATTGTTACAAGCCTCGAGCCTCTTGAGATTTTCAGAGGCCTGGGAAATAATAATCACATGAACAAATTTGAATGTATATGTAAATTATCCATATCGACGATATTCCTGTTATTTTAAGATATGACATTTTACTTTCTATTTAAGTCTTTTGTTGTTTTAAACAGTAAGCGATAGAACTGAATGTTATGCGATCCTCAGGGCTTCGTATGTCATTTAAAAAAAAATTATTTTTTTGAAATCATTCGTCAAATGTATTACTTCATATTTCCAAGTCGCATGCATTTTTCTGACTTTTTTTGTGATTTCTCAAACCTAAGCTAGTTTTAATTTTTCCAAGCCTTTTTGTATTATTTACGCATTTGATCGTATTTTAATGTTAATTTGCGCGCTATAAGTAGTAGAATTATTATTACTATTATAACTCGTAACTGAGCTATGCCATTATAGAATGCGAGAGGGAGAGGTGTTGGCGGTTGTTAGTATTGATAGCGGCCAGCAGATATTTTTAGGGTAGAAAAAGAAGAATTTCGTGAACTCAGTTTAAACTATTCTACAAACGAAATACATAAGGGATCAACCCCAGAGACTCACCGCACAAGCAAGTGCCAGACAGACACTGAAAACGACCAAGATCTTCATGACTTGTGACTTGAAGAAACCAACCTACAACTTGATCTTGTTAAGAAGTTCGCAATTGGAAGAGATAAGCTCTATAAACTGCTGTATTTATAGCTTCCTGTTACAAGGCCTCGAATGAAAATTACAAAGTTAATCGTGCAAGTGTTGCTAAATACGAAGTCCAAACGAAAAACAATATCGGTCTGAAATTAAGTTTATTCAACTGCCTGGAAAAAAACTATTGTGAAATTATATATCAACAAAAATTTATTCGTAATTTAAAATGTTTTTTTGCTATATTCTGTCACAATACATGTCAATCTAAAACTTCATTTCATATTGTCAAAATTTGCAAGAAAACTGAGCACTTTGAATCACGGTATATTTTTGCTATTACCGTCCAACCAATTCTAGGGATTTCAGTCACGGTATTCCAACGAATAGGCTTCACAAAGTAAAAACATTGGTTTTGAGAATTGATGTATTTTTTCCAAAAAAAAAATGAATAGAAAAACTGACATTTAAAAGAAAATTGAAGATAAAAAAAGAGGAGTGCACTTCAATCAGCTGGGAAAACTCAGGTTTTACCTTCAAGGAAACCGACTTTAAATATACCTTGCGAAAAATAAATAATTTTTTTTTTCTTGTTGTTACTGTTTATAATCCAATTTGTTGAAGAAATACTGAGAAACATTACCGTCTTGTTGACATAACCCATTAGCAATTTCCTCAAATCTTTGGTAAGTTGTCACAGATGTTGTGGAACGATTTGCTTTGAAAATATTATTTGTTTACGAAAAAATTTCAAACGTTGATGTTCAGGTAACATTAGTATTAATGATATGTAAGGCCGTCCTTCGAAAACGAAACGGTACTACGTTGCATTAAGGATTTTGCAGCAAGGAATTTTGATATTTATGTAAGTTAAAATCACTCCTTTTCCCCATATATCAAAATGTGCATGATCATGGATGGACTTGAGTAGCTAAGCAGCTGTCACATTACTGCAGAGCAATTATCAAACTGCGTATAATCCTTTTTAGAAATTATTTTGATCTGTGATAGGGAGAAAACAAGGCATCCAACAAATTTTTCTACCAAAAGCCAAGATTAAAAGAGAATTGAGGTTGCCATTTCAATGAATAAAATTAGCCTTAACTGTTTTGGGTTTGATATTAAATAACCAAAGACGACAAAATGATGAAGTCGATTTTGCGTTTCTGCCAGAAACGCAAATTACACCACTTGCTCTTTAATTTAAACCGCAGTTCACGCCAACATTTGAAAGAAAACATTCACGTTTTGTTTTAAGGTTTAACACATTTATTTTGGAAACTGCATCTGGAGTTTTTCAATCTTAGTTTTCGCTTTTATAACTAAAGCTAAGCGCCATTCTTTAAGCATCCATACACTGCCTCAGAGAGAGCCTCGTTCCTGTGATAGGAAGCGTGATGTAGGCTGTCTCCTTACATTCTAGTCCATCTGCGCAGCCGCACTTGTGTACGTCCTAAAGAATAAATGAAAAGGAAAATGTTGTTACGCCAAAAGCTTAAGGAAGCTTAAAGTCAATCTTGGAAAGATGAGAGAAACTTTATCAACATCTTACCAAAAAGAAATGCTATTAATGGCTTACCGTCTAAATGCAGGTGAAGTATTTCTTGACTTTTGGAATACATCGCTTGTTCAAGGCACAGCATCTATTGTAACTGCAATCTTCTACAGTGAGGCATCTCTAATTCATGACGAAAAAATAATTTTCTTTGAAATATAAAGAAGCCTAGGCTTGGGTTTCTTTTCGTTTTGTCAACTACCTCACGAATGGATGAATGAATGAAAAAATTTATTTAAGTGTCTATGTTTTTAGCTATAAGCTAATGGGAGACATTAAAAAATTTAAAAGTTAAATACATTTACATATGAAGATAATAGTTATTTACAGTAGATAATTAAAAAGATTATAAAGTTATTTAGTTAAGTTTTAAATTTCGACGAGAGTTGAAAGGTCGACTTTTCCTATGTTGTTCTTGAACGAATTTAGAGTTTCTATCGTTCTTAGGTGTCGTGGTAACTTCGACTAGATGAGATGTCCCATATATTTAATAGAATTCCTACCATATCTTACAGTTTCGGATCTTGGCAGTTCGAAGTCACTGTTCCGTAAATTATACTAACTGTTCTTTATATTAAATAAGTGAGAAATATTCTCGGGTACGAGACTGTGCTTAACTTTAAACATTAAAGTGGCAATGTCTTGTAGGCGTCGATTGTACAACGTCGGTAGTTTGGCGCGATTTAGCAGTTCTTGATAGGACGCTGATCTAGTTTTGTACACCGGCCTAAGTGCTCGCTCCTGAATCCGCTCAAGCTTTCTCCGTTCCGATCCATTACAAAAGTGCCATACTAGATGACAGTAGGTTAGATGGGGCAGAATTGAAGACCTGTAAAGTGATAGTTTAGCATTACAGGGTAGATCACCGATATGACAAGTAAAACTCAATTTTCATCGATTTGAACTCCTAAAAGCCGTATTTCCCCCATTCTCTCAATAGTATGACCATGAACAGAAAAGTTATCGGTCCTCAAACATTTTCAATCATTCCAACAAACTTTCGAACTTACGTTGAAGTACAGCCAGCGCCTGACCCTCATGGGTGCATCTGCTGCCTGGTTATCAAGGTCGATCGTCTCCACTTTAATATCCGTATCTCGCGGCATGCATTGTTTAATGGGATTCTCGATTCCGTGCTCTATCACATTCTTGGTGAGAACGCAGGAAAGACCATTCTGGCAACTGCAATCTCCTTCCTGGCAACAGAAAAGGAGTAAAGAGAGCAGAATAAAAATTCTCATCCGGTGAACTTGCCACCCGCTTTGTCGTATGAAGAGTGAGCTTAATGAAGAGCTAACCTTACAGCTGAATAAATTCTTAGGAAGTTTGTTCTTCGTTCTTCTTCTTTCTTTTTTCTCTAACTTAGAAAGGCATCGATTTTCTTTTTCTTTGCCAGTCGCTAATAATGACACAAAACTAGTATAACCTTGGTCTCTAAAACATTCACTCTATTGCGGTGTCACCTGGCAGGACGCTACAAAACACAAGTCTCTTCATGAAAAGTATTCGAAGCATATATGTGGTAGAATTGTTATAGAAGATTTGGTTTACCAGACTTCTTAAAGACAGCATTTTATGGCATTGAACAATAAAATAATCTAATTAACGTTTTTACTCACCGGCTTGTTACAAACTGAAAGTTCAGGAAGTTTTGAACATCCCTGAACAAAAAGAAAAGAACAACATGTAAAAAAAATGTGTGGAGTGATTGGAATCGGACATTTTACTCGATGAGTACAAACAACGACAACAACAAACAGAACAGAACAGGACTCATATCTGATTTCCAAGTTTGCTCACAAGTTTAAAAAAGATGTATGTTTTGTCTTTGTTTCCAGTTTTCCTTGAATGAGCGCGTGGTATAAAATAAAAGAAGTTCTGTGAAGTATTTGATAATGAATTATTTAAAGATTTAATTAAGAAGAAAACACGCCGTTTTGCCAGCAAATAATCTGTTCCAGTTTGATAGA